AACATTCATGTAACAGGATAATTGGTAGGAAAGGATTGTGAAAGGATTGTGGAGAGGATCATCTTGATGTGAGTTTATAGAATATGCGAGAAAAAATTATTAGATAACTCGGACTGGGATTCGAACCCAGAACCTTCCGAAGACATGTCGGCTACTCTACCATTTGAGCTATCCGGTCTATACTAAATTTCCTTTCACTTATTCTATATACATTAAGCCACACCGTCCATCTTACGGTTAGCATTTTTAACAAATATAAATAATGCTGTGAAGCGGGAAAGAATAGGACGTGAAATGGGACTAGCTCCTTCAGGGACGTGGGAGTTTTCACTCCTGGTCACTAGGATAAGATAGGCTGAGAGGGAGAGAGGTTGAGTTATCATATTACTAAAAGAAAGAATTAATTAATTAATAAAAGTAGAGAGATTCATTCACTCCCACGAACAACAAAACTGAAATAACTCGATACAATTAGATGCTCAGGAGAGCTTAGCAAAGCCAAAATGGCGTTATATATTATATACTGGACGAAAGTTATTATAAGGGATTACCACGTACATCTCGCGAGGTTTTAGCAAGCTCCTCCTGTGTCGGGATTTCCATGGTCCTCCTTCAGTGGTGTTATAAAACTCAGGTCCGTTGCTCGTCCTGATTGACAGGTACTTAATATCCTGGAATGTCCTGGTGTCCGCAATGAGATGACCGGAAAACTTCCTCAAAGAAATGGCCTTTGGCAACCGTTGTGTGTATTGGCTCAGATGGTTGGAGCGTATCAAAATAAATTTAACTGAATGTCAAAAGTGTGACTGTTCACTGCAACGACTTGTCGCCAAAGAGAGCTGACGCCGGGGCCTCTGTCCCGTTCTCCCGTCCACCGGTACAATCTCGAACCCAAAGATCTCCTCCCACACAGACGCGTGCTGTAAAACGAGTAACGAGCAGCAGCGACTTCTTTTACGACTTTCTTGCTGGATGCCAAGCACACTAACTTTCTGGCACGCAGTTGTAAATTTAAATTCCTTGAAATATACGGTTACAAGCTCAAAAACGTAATAAGTGCAATATTAAGCGCTTATTCACCCAAGCGCTTAGTCACCCTTTTTCTAAATTTTTTTTTTCCGTGTAGACTCTATCGAAAAAAAATCGGTATCTGCTACCAATTTTTTTCGGTTGAGGGAACCAATTTTTTTTCGGTAGATGCTACCATTTTTTTCGGGAGCCTTTACCATAAAAATCGGTAGTCTCAATCGATTATTTTTTTCCATGTATATATAAAAATCTAACCAGCGTTAGATTTGCGTAGGTACACTGAAAAAAATTAGGGAAACGGTTAACCCTGAAGGTCATCCCGGCAACTTCCCGCTAATTCCATACCCAAGCGCTTGAAATTGCACATGTCGTTTTTGAGCTGTTCGAGCTCAAAAATACAATTTATGTTGTATTTTGAGCTCTCCGAACTCAAAGAGTTGGCTGATATATGCTTTTAAGCTCTTCGAGCTCAAAAGTCTGATAGAAGTTTCATATAATAAGACTATTTTTTGAATTTTCAAACCGCAATTACTTTTGAATGAATCAACTGATTTTCATGTTCGTTGCCGGCATTAGACGCAGTTTTTCAGCCTCATTAAGAATCTTTAAGTTTTAATTGATCGAACTAGGAATCTCAGAGTAATTCCAAAAAAACACTTCGGTTCTCGGTTTTCTTTCGTTCACGATGTCTCTTGAACGAATCAATCGATTTTGACCGGCTTGACGGCGATCGACGTGGTTTTTTAGTGTTAAAAGCTCATTAGTTTTTGAAATCGATCTGTAAAGCCGTTTAAAAGTTATTCCAAAAAAACCACATTTGAAAAATTTTTTTTTCTTAGTTTTTTTTCAATTTCTCAAAATCTACCGGTCCGAATCGGTCCAAAATGTATTAGAAATCTAAGTTTGTCCAAGCCCTTTAGAATGGCGCCAACCACGATGAAATTGGTCAAACTGGTCATAAGTTATCAGCGGCTCACATTCTTACACTCATACACACACACACACACACACACACACACACACACACACACACACACACACACACACACACACAAATTCTTGAATCAAGTAAAATTTACTTAAACCAAGAAAAATTTCTTAGTTCAAGAATTTTATACTTAGATCAAGAAGATGTTCTTCAAAATTACTAACTTGATTCAAGTAAATTTTTTTTTGTGTAGTTTAACATCTAATGATAAATACTCCTCCAACTTATATATTAATTATGAAACTTTAAAGTGAATACTAAACATTAAGTCTTATACCTGAACTATTATAACTTTATCATCAGAAGTTATAAAAATTTTTAATTTACGGATAAGTTATTTAATTACGTTTGATAAATTAATTGGGTAAGCTGAATGAATGTTTACAGAAGGTAAATCCATGGCGATATCATACGACTGCAAGTTCATTGAGACATCTGTAGGAATAAACCACAACGTAGATGAGCTCCTTGTGGGATTACTGACGCAAATACGGTTGAAACTAGAAAATCCTGAGAGAACACGAGATCTATTCCGTAAGAGGTCGAGGAAAAACCGCAGCAGATCACCTTTGGGTTCATGTTCTGAGAACAACTCACCTAAGAAATACCGTGGCAGTCGCACAAGTGCTAGTCTCAAAGTACGTAGTTTACTGGGTAAAGTTTGGGCAAGAGATAGTAAATCCAAAAGTTGCGAGAATTTACATGTTTTGTAAAATATTTTTGTCAATTCTATGGATTTTATTCTTGACCAATTGAGAATGTTGATTTATTTCAATAATTTTTTGTAACCAAGACTGAATTTAAGATTTTAGAATTACAAAGTATTTAACTCGTGACTCGTTTCTTTGTTGTTTTTTTTTTTTTAATTTATTTACATAAATTTTTAATGTATTGCTCGTGAAAAATTAAATCAAAAAACTCTGCAGATCTAAAAGAACGTATAAAAAATTTTTTCCCTCCGATCGCCTTAAGAATATTAAAAATATGAAAAAATTTTTTATCTGTACTTTTGGTTTTTCTGAGTCAAAAAAGTGTAAAATTTACGATACGCACGTTTTGGAACTAACAACGCGATATGTTCCTACGAAAAAGTTATATATCCGTAAATATAGACTGGTCATGTATTCAATGATGTATTCTGGGATATATTCAAATTAGTCAAAATATCTATAATTGGACATGTGTATATCGTATATATTCAAGGTTGTTTTTGGGGATACTAAAATTAAAGTAAACATCATCGTCATTTGGTTGAGAATACAAAACATCTATAATAGCTTTGTAATCAAGAACCAATTTGACAGATATTTGCCTTCTGTCAAAATTTCTAGATACTAAATGATACATACATATCCGAGTATAAATTTCTAGGCAAACTTGAATATACCTTAGAATATATCTTAGGATATATTCTCCGTATATATTTACGGATAAAAAATTTTTCCGTGTTGGGAATGTATTTATTTAAAATATCTAATGAATTTCGGTAGTCTGTGATTCAAGAGACTATATATTAACTCTAGGCTAACTGTATTTAAAGAAAATAACGAAATTGCTTAAACACAGCAAAATTAAACTAACCAAAATAAATAAAAAAGATACAATGTATATTTAGTTGTTTATCTTTTAAATTACGAAAAGAGATAGCTTTTTTTATTTGTTTGTCGACTACTTACACTGAAAATTTCATTTTCTCTAAATACACAATACAGGTTATGAGGAAAAATGAAAAATAAATCAATAGAAAACTAATCAAATATTTACGAATAGTCCAGAGGCGAACAATGAATTTTATTCAATTCAATTGCGGTAAGTTTTTTGTTAAAACTTATATTAACTGTTAAAAAAGTAAAAAAATAATTGTTCATCCTAATGATTTTAGATTTTAATAAACTCTGGAAATTACTTTATTAGGATTAAAAATACCGGTAATACAAAAGAGCATGATAATGAAGAATTAGGAACAATAAAAAACGAGACCCGAGTAATAAGTATGAAGTCGATTAAATGTGTGAAATTACAATGGTTTTGAATGGTGGCAATTAAATAAGTAACTTTGATGATAAAAAAGTTTTAAAAAAGATAAAAAAAATAATATTATTAAAAATCAATCATTTTTTTCATATTTTTTAATCCAAATCATTCCTAATACGCTTGAATCAACGTGATCAATATACATTAATTAAGCAATTAATAAATCGATAATGCAATATATTTAATATTAATTTTAGTAATTTTACCAATACTAATAATGATAATTATTATTATGAATATATCCAATCCGAATCGTGTGCAAATAATAAGTAATAAAATATCGAATTTTCGAAAAATAAATATTTCATTGCATGTAAAAAAATACAGAATAAAATATATAACGAATGATGTACTATCAAGCGTTCTTTACCATAAATATGAATTTACATAATTTTATACATTACATTTTTGTACGTATTGCGAAAACAAATATAAAACTATAGATAATAATGGCAGTAATAAAAGAACAGCTAATCCAAAGTCACTTTAATAAAATTGAATAAACTAAAGTAATAATTATGAGTGAAATATGATGTAGTTAAATAAAGGAAATATAAAAATAAACAAAAAAACATTCTATTATATGACGTACTAAACTTATGATTGATGAAAGAAAGATTCACCAATAATAAAACATTCATTACAGAGTGGAAAATTTCAATAATGGATAACAATACATCTTACAGTACAAGTTTTTTTTTATCATTCGAGAAAATATGGCATCTATGTTACGCATGTTTAAATCGAAGGTCTTGGTAGACTTGAATTAACATCACGTATCTAAATTTATAATACGATCACTACACGGAAAAAAAAATTGAAAAATTACATTATGAATAGTAATAAATTTCGCTTTAAATTTAAAAGTAGAAAAATTGTATCTAAAACTGTAATTTTTCCAGTTTTTTATATGAAGCGCCACGTTACTTTATTCAATGTAAAAAATCGGGAGTAAATTCGGAGTGAATTTGGAGTGAATATAGATTTCTATTCGGAAAACATCCAAGTACGGAGTTTTTATGCTAAAATGAATTTTTATTTAACTGAAATAAGATATTATTATTAGGTGACTGAATAGTAGTTACAAACAGTGTCTCGAATAGCTTAACCAGTAGAGCCTTTGGCCTTTATTCTTCCTGTCCCCAGTTCCCAAATTTTTCTTTAATGACAGATTTATCTATGAATTGTGACTGAATCAGTCACCTTATATATGCCAAATTATTTTTTTTCGTCGGTGTAAAATAAATAAACAAATAAGTATGGGTATAATATTTGTGAAATATATGAAATACGAAAAAAATTGATGTGAGTACTCAAATAAAAGGTCTTGATAAGTGTAGTATGGAGATAAGCTTATATCTTGAAAAATATGATTAGATGGCAAGATTTAATGTCATTTCTAAACTATTGACATTTTCGAAGATATAAGCTCATTCTAATGTTACGATCATTGAAATCTTTCATTTCAGTAAGATAAAAGCCCCAATAGATTATCACGTACCAGTATATGATCACTCCATGTATTTGTATATCTATATTCACAAATACAGGTATACAAATACATGGAGTGATCATATACTGGTACATGATCATCTATTGGGGCTCTTACCTTACCTACATAAATTTTTTATTTTATATATATTTGTAAAATATTATAAAATAGAAAAGAATATAAACTGCTAAATTGAAAACAAATTGAATTTCCTGAAAATTTCCGCTAATTCCGTTAATACATAGCCGTTTTTTTTGAGCTCTTGAGCTCGAAAAGATACCTTTTCTGTGCTTTTGCGCTCTTTGAGCTCAAAAGTCTGATAGAAGTTTCATAGAACACTATTTTTTGAATTTTCAAACCGCAATAACTTTTGAATGAATGAACCGATTTTTACGTGGTTGGCGGCATTCTACGCAGTTTTCAAGCCTCATAAAGAATTTCTAAGTTTCAATTGGTCAAACTAGAAATTTCGGAGTAACTCCGAAAAAACACTTTTTTCGGTTTTCTTTCGTTCACGATATCTTTCGAACGAATCAACCGATTTTGACCGGATTGGCGGCGATCGACGTGGTTTTTCAAGGTTGAGAGCTGATTAGTTTTTTGAATCAATCGGTAAAGCCGTTTAAAAGTTATGCAAAAAAAACCACTTCTAAAAAAATTTTTTTTCCTATTTTTTTTTCAATTTCTCAAAATCTACCGGTCCGAATCGGTCCAAAATGTATTAGAAATCTAAGTTTGTCCAAGCCCTTTAGAATGGCGCCAACCACGATGAAATTGGTCAAACTGGTCATAAGTTATCAGCGGCTCACATTCTTACACTCATACATACATACACACACACACACACACACACACACACACACACACACACACACACACACACACACACACACACACACACACACACACACACACACACACACACACACAA